ATTATAACAATGGTAATTTTGATCATAGAAGTACTAATGGTTCAAGAAACTTCCCTGGTAATGTAAATCCATCTGGTCACAGAGGTAACAATGGCAGTTTTAATGGCAATTTTTCTGGCAATGGTAAAAGTGTTCAGTCACAGAATGGAAGTAGTTTCTCCGGTAATGGTTTTCAAAAGAGTAATACCTGGAATGGCAATACATCTTACAGATCTGGTGTTTCACCTGAGTGTCAAATATGTTCTAGGAGGGGACATACAGCAGCTAATTGTTATCATAGAGCTGCCACTGGAAATTCAGGGTTCCTTGCTTGTCAGATTTGTGGGAAAAGAGGACATATTGCACTGGAGTGTTATCATCGCAATAATTTTGCTTATCAGGGTACTTCACCACCTTCTTCCTTGACTGCAATGACTGCACAGGCTCATATTGGACATAATACACCACAGAACAATGGACATGGGTTATCCAATGGGGATACTTGGATTCTAGACACCGGAGCTACACATCACATGACTTCCAATGTTCATGCACTCTCTCAAGTCAATTCTTACAATGGAGATGAGAAGATAACAATTGGAAATGGTGAAGGTTTGGCAGTCAAGAACATTGGTTCTTCTACAATTACAACTACAAATAATGCTTTAATTATGCATAATGTGTTGCATGTGCCTCAAATTACTGCCAATCTTCTTTCTGTTAAGATGTTATGCAAAGATAATGGATGTTGATTTATTTGTGATGATGTGGATTTCGTTATACAAGACAAAGCAACAAGGGTGATTTTGTACCACGGAAGAAGTGATGATGGGGAACTTTTCAAGATTCCAGTAACTGTTTTTGACAACTCATTTGCTACAAGGTTGAGTCGATGTGCTGCATTCTTGGGACAGAAGGTAAGGACTGCAATTTGGCATCAACGGCTAGGCTATCCATCAGGGGATATTTTAGCTAGAATGTTGAAGACTGTTGACATTAGTACTAGTAAAGATACTTGTCCAACTTTGTGTTCTTCTTGTGTACAAGGGAAAATGTGTAGACAAGTATTTCCAGTAAGACAAAATAAAGCGAAGTGTTTGTTTGAGAAAGTTCACTCCGATGTATGGGGACCATCTCCAATCCAATCTATAGAAGGATATAAGTACTACATTACTTTTGTAGATGAATTTTCCAGATTCATGTGGATTTTTCCTATGATCAATAAATCAGAAGCTTGTTCAATTTTTGTGAAGTTCACAACTTTTGTGCTTAATCAGTTTCATGCTTCAATTAAATGTTTTCAGTCTGATGGGGGAGGTGAATATATGAGTAAACCATTTAAGGAGTTTATCGCAAGTAAGGGTATTTCCCACATGATTTCCTGTCCTTATACTCCTCAGCAGAATGGTATTGCTGAAAGGAAACATCGTCATGTAGTAGAAACTACCATTACTTTAATGGCAGAAGCAAGTTTGCCTCAAATGTTCTGGTATCATGCCTGTGCTCATGCAGTTCTCTTAATTAACAGAATGTCATCTCAAGTCTTAGAGTTTCAGTCTCCTTATCAAATTTTGTTTGGACAAACACTAGATATTCATAGCTTTAGAGTCTTTGGCACTGCCATTTATCCTTTACTGCGCCTATATACCAGTAATAAGTTTCAACCTAGATCTTCACTATGTGTTTTTCTTGGTTATGCTTTGGGATACAAAGGAGCAATCTGCTATGATATGAACACTGGTAAATTGATCTTGTCCAGGCATGTCATATACAATGAGGAAGTGTTTCCCTATAAAACAGTCATATCTCGAGGGTGTATTCATTCTGAACAGTCTAAGCACATATCAGGAGATGTGATTGTAGTTCAAATGCCTATTCCTGCAGTTCATAGTACAATATCTGTATCAAGTGCAGCTTCAATGTTAGATCCAGTCTCTCAGCAGCAAGTGTTAAGTGTGCAATCCAGTTCTAAAATGGAAGCATCTCATGAATCTGCTAATCGTTCCAACTACTCACAACCATCACCTTCCCATCATCACTCTAATGCAGAAGTCAATGCATCACCCTTGTTGCCTGTCCATCATAGTTCCCAACTGGAGGTATTGATTCCTATCTCTCCTCAATTCAGTGAAAATTCTGAAAATCATTCCATGTCCCCAGATGTAGTGTCTATTCATCCCATGGTTACACGATTGAAAAGTGGGACTATACAACGGCAAGATTATGCTGCCTATTTGACATCTTTTCCAGAATTACAGTCTTTACATGTTACAGAAGATGAAGTGTTCTCTGGTGGTTATTCCTTTATGACAGAGATCACTGATACTAAAGAACCTTCTAATTTTCGAAAAGCTGCAAGTCTCCCACATTGGCAGCAAGCTATGTAGGAAGAATATGACTCTCTCAGGGCTCAGGGACCTGGCAGCTAGTTCCATATCCTAGTAACAGATTTGTGGTTGGTAGTAAATGGGTTTACAAGGTCAAAAAGAAGTCTGATGGTATTGTATCGAGATACAAAGCTCGATTGGTGGCTCAAGGGTTTTCACAGAAGCATGAAATTGATTATTCTGAGACATTTAGTCCTGTTGTTCGACATACAACAGTGAGAATCATTCTTGCTATAGCTGCGATGAATCACTAGGAGTTGAAACAATTGGACATTAAAAATGCATTCTTGCATAGGGATTTACAAGAAGAGGTTTATATGCACCAACCTCAAGGTTTTGTTGATCCCACATGTCCCACTTATGTCTGTAACTAGTTAATCACTGTATGGCCTTAAACAGGCACCAAGGGCCTAGAATTCGAAGTTTACCACCTATCTGTGTGCTATGAGGTTTCATGCTTCATTGTCTGACACAAGTCTGTTTGTAAAGAACACTGGTGCTGATATCATCATCCTCCTTCTCTATGTGGATAATATAATTTTGACAGGTTCTAATTCTGTCCAAATTCAACAGGTCATTCATGAATTATCAGAGGTGTTTGAATTGAAAGATTTGGGCAGACTCAGCTATTTCTTGGGCCTACAGATTTCATATCCTTCCAATGGGGATATATTTATTAACCAGTTGAAATATATCAAAGATTTGCTTCATAAAGCTGCCTGTAAACCATCCACAACACCATGTAAGCCACACAACTCATTGCTTCTCACTGAAGGAATGCAATTGCCTGATCCTACATTTTACAGGAGCATTGTAGGTTCTCTCCAATACCTGACATTTACTAGGCCGGATATTGCTTTTGCGGTTAATTCAGTGTGCCAATTTATGAAAGCACCAACTGATGTTCATTTTAGAGCTGTGAAGAGAATCTTGAGGTATCTTAAGGGTACAATACAGTATCGTTTTGTATATTCCGCAGCTACAACACCGAGTCTTGAGGCTTTTTCAGACTCTGATTGGGCGGCCGATTTGAATACTCGGAGGTTTGTGACTGGTTATCTTGTTTTTCTTGGCAATAATCCAATTTCATGGCAGTCCAAGAAACAAGGTTCTGTCTCTCGAAGCTCTACTGAAGCAGAATACAAAGCCTTAGCTCACACTGCAGCTAATCTAGCATGGATAAGGGCAGTCTTGAAGGATTTGGATGTGTTTCTGCCCACATCACCTGTTATACACTGTGATAATTTGTCTGCGATTGCATTAAGTGCAAATCCAGTGTTTCACTCTCGAATCAAGCACTTGGATACGATTATCATTTTGTTCGAGAAAAGGTGCAACAAGGTGATTTAGCAGTCTCCTATATTCCCACTGAAGATCAATTTGCTGATATTCTCACAAAGGGGTTACATGGGCCATTATTTGTCAAACATTGTTCCAATCTTAAGCTTGGTTCCCAAGTTAAGATTGCGGGGGGATATTAACTAGCATAAGAAGGGTAGTATGGTCAAGGTCAAAATGTGTAAAAATGATATAAAAGACAGTTAGTTAGTTAGAGTTGGGAGGTTTTGAAGCTTAGGAGATAAGATAACACTTGGGTATATAAATGTGAAAGATCTTGTAAGCAAGCAATCAATCGTAATACACGAAAATATCATATCTTTCTATCTCTCTTCTCTATCATTCTTTCTCTCTATATTTCTAGGTATTTTCTGGTTTTCTTGATGAACCACCTTCCTTTTAAAATAACACAACTTTAATCATTATGAACACTATATTTATTATTTAAATATTATTTTCATACGTAATTACTGTATATGCTTCATACACGCCATACTACCTATTTTGTTCACTATACATTAAGTGCCACTATATATATATATATAAGTAATTGCTTTATGCACTTTTTTCAATCTTGTCGCAGTGACAGTCAGCACGATATTTAGATAGTACTATTTGCATTTGATTAATAGTTCATGACATGGTGTGTGCAACATGACAAATAGAGTCATGCAGCTACTGATACAAGTGACAAGTACAAATTGATATGCATAGTTATATGTGTATGAATTGTGACTGCCATTAAACTATGTCACTTATACAACATGTGATTTACCGACTGAATAAATTATTTATTTATAGAAGGCACATAGTATAATATTTTGCCTTGACAAACTTTATCAATTTGATTTATTCATTATACGTTCATACTTATACTGTCATTCATTGTCAGGAATTATTGAGCAACTAGCTCTATTGATCAACATTGTTACTGATTAAAGAAGCCTACCAACCTATAGATCGATGAGCCACATTCTTATGGTGACAAATATTTAGTCTGAACAGTAATCTCTTGTCTGACCCGGACACCCACTTCCTCGGACACTCACTCATTTGGACACCTAAGTGCTTGGACGCTCGCGAGCTTGGACACCTATTCGTTCGGGCACTTACAAGATTAGACACCGTCAAACTTGGACACCCTTGAGCTCGAACCCCGACTCACGGACCCAACTCAAAGACCCTACGTATGGCCCCGACTCAAAGACCCTGAATTGTGGACCTGATCTGCGGATCCGACACATAGACCCAATATATGAACCCGACAAACGGACCCGAGTCATGTCAAGAGTTAACTCATAATGAGCTCACGCTGACGTCGAGTGCATACTCGAAATGAAGAACGCCACAAGCCGAGCCGCCTCGCAACGAGCACCGCCTCCAGCCGAGCAATTGCCTCGCCGCGAGTATTGCCTCTAGCCGAGCAGCCTCGCAACGTGTGCTACCTCTAGCTGAGTATTGCTTCACGTTAAGCACTGTCTCATGTCAAGTACTAGTTCTAGACGACATCTAGTCACTTCGGCCCGCACATGGATTGAATTTGAAGTCTCCAGTCAAAAGACTCTCTTGACTGAAGACCTGGGGGACTTCTGTTGTACCATATATTGGGCCTCAGTATTTGGGCTTCATTACTTAGCCCATGATTCGTGTAAGAGGGGAGGAAACCCTTATTCTATAAAAGGGCTCTCTCGCACTCACTAGAGGAAGAAGACAAATAGCAAAGGGAAGCACAAAGGGCAGCACACAGAGAGCTCCCTTGCTTGTCCATTGTAATCCACACAGAGAGCTCCCTTGCTTGTCCATTGTAATCCACACATTTACATAGTGAAACAGAATCGACACCAATGTGGACATAGCCCAACTTGGGTGAACCATGATACATCTTATGTTGTTTGCTTCCCAGTCTCTATCCATTTACATACTTATCCACACTAATGACCAGAGCAATCTAGCGAAGGTCATAAACTTCACACTTTCTGTTGTACCAAAGTCTTCGCCAATTTTGTGCATCAACATCATACAAACAATTGAACATTAACCAGGGTACCTCTAAGTTTTCAGTGTACCTTAGTACAAGATCGAAAAGAATGCATTGGATGGATGCCCGGGCATTGAGAAGGAAGGACGCTTTCAGAGGCGAAAGGCCATGGGGAGATACCGTCTGTGATCCATGGATCTCCGATAGGGAAACCGTATCCAAGCTCCGCGGGGGCCTTCCGTTCAGAGGTAGCATATTCATCGACTTCTGGGAATAGGGGGTTGGGGAGAGGAGCTCTAGCCTGGGCAGCAGAAGTGAAGTAGAGAAGACCGGAAACTACTTAGCTGTCAACGACGTCCACTTTCTTACAAATCTTTATGCGGGTAAAGCCATGTGTCCTAAAAATGAAGAAGTCAAGAAAATAAATTCTTTTTAATCTCTACATTGTGAGTGAACATGTCAAGTTCCATGTGAAAGATTTTATGTCTAGTTGTTATACCTACATTGGAGTTTGAATGCTTGTCATACGAACAATTGAACGTTAACCAGGGTACCTTTGAGTTCAGCCTTTATGGCCTTATACAAGCAATGTGGTGAGTGAACATGTCGAGTTCCATGTGAAAGGTTTTGTGTCTTGTTGTTATACCTGTATTGGAGTTGTGTCTTAAAAGCCAATTTCGTAATATTGGATTTTAAGTAACAAATTCATATTAATAAATATATGCGCAAGATCTACTCATTCATGAGTTTGGCTTTATATTATAGTGATAATATGCTATGAATGAGTCCATGAGACTTAAGGTATGGAAACAATGTCCTAAATGAGGTTTAGGCATTGAGACTTGTTTTCCATAGTCACTGAGCCTTTAGATAAAGTTCCTTACCATTGGAAAGTTAACTGGACATCAACTATTCGGAAAAGCTGATGTATATCGTATTAAGGATAGCATTGGTCTCGTGCTACGCATGTTAGAAACATGATGGGTATAAATGTTACAAAGCTTCTGGTTGTATTATGCAAATTGTTCTTAGACCTGAGGCATCAAGATATTTTATATTTGTAGGTACGAACTTTGGTTACCTTAAGGCCTCAATGAGATCGCAAGGCTCGATAATGTGATATTTAGTTCATGCATATGTATAAGTATGAAGGCACATGAATGCGCAATAAGGAATCTATCACATTCTGGTAATTGTTCAACAAAATGAGATATCCCTCAAAGCCACTTGAAGATCCATCTCATAAATCTTTGACTGAAGCACTTGGTAATTAAGATATGTTTGTAAAAACTGCTTCAACATGTGATTCATCATGCAATCGTAGATTACTACATGTGATTTGACACATATCCATGTCATTAAATCTTGATCGGGATATGGATGATAGAAGAATCGACTTGCATTGTAACTAAAATCAAGGTTTGGAAAAGTATCATGATTTGCTTGCGGATACTTCTACTAACCCAGGTAGCCATGACATGTTGCTAGATGTCACTCATAGTTTGTAGGATTAAATAAATTGATTGATTAGTTTCACTGCCGACTTTAATTAGAACCTAAGATGTCATACACATATGATAAGTTTTAATAAAGTTATATATAGATGATTATAAGGTATAATTAATTATAAATTGTATTGGATTAATTATTTGGGAATATTGGACATGATTTCATTTAAATAGGTAGTGGGCTTTGTTTAATTAAAAGGGGCCCAAGCCACAAATTCAAAGTTGGTAAGTGGTGGGCTTGGCGCATGGCATAAAGCCTGAGGCACCAAACCCTAGGGGAGGTGCAACATAGGGGTGCAACAAGGAGTCTAAAAACACTCCTTTTGTTTCCCTCATACATAGAATGCAAAAGTTGTTAGTTTTGTCCCTCGGGGAAAAGAGAGAAAAACCCTAAGCCAAAACACCTTGTATGCCACCCATTCTATATTGATCCAAATGAGAGATATTGCTAGCACATCAAATCAATCACTGCATCATCCATTACTAGTTTTATCAGTGTGGATACGCTTAGAGGCTCAACACTTAGGGAGTTTTGTGTGGTCAATTATGAAGAGGAAGATTGCAAGCATAAAGATGATCCAATCAAGCGACATGCATGTGGCTAGATATTCAAGTAAGCTAATCTCGACGACTTCTTAAATTGTTGTTTTATCAATTACAACCAACCAGATATATAATTGGGATAACATATTGTATGTTATTTGTTATTTTTCGCTCCGTATTAATTATTCAAATTAAATTTATCCCATTAATATGCCCGGAAACCCAATAGTGGTATACAAGCTAGGTTGTAATCCATAATTGTACAATTTGTTTCGTTGTTATGGTGAATTTAATTATTAGGGTTCATGTTGTTCTTGAATGGTTCTTTATAATATGAAAGGAGAATAAATTTTTTGTTTTTTTTTTGTTTTTTTTGTTTTTGTTTTTGTTTTTGTTGTTTTTTTTTTTTTGTATTAGCTTAATGTATATATGAAAAATATCAGACAAATATAATCATGAATTTAATTTAGAATTTTCAAATTTAGTTTAAACATTGGGAAGTAAGCATGTAAATATAATAGAAGTAAAACCCCCTGGACAACAATTTTTTATAAGGAACCCAATAAGCATTACCTAAAGTAGCAAGAAATAGGCAACCTGATTGTGTACAAATATATGAAGTTAGCGATTTAAACTCGAACTCGATTGCACTGCCATGTTTGTAAATTTTCTCTTTTTCGTAGTAGTCTTATCTTTGCCCCTTTGGTTCTCATCAAGAAATTCTATTCTTTGGTTGATAATAACTACAACTGTGAAGTTCGAATGGCTGGGAAATTTTTAGATTCAACAGATGAAACTGAGTTGCGTATAATGATATTAATCCTTTTAAATAATCAAAACAGCAAACTCGCTTTGATAGCACTGATAGAAAAGATGATACTACATTATTAGAAAGCTGATGTCGTAAGATTATCGATTAGTGCAACTTCACCGCTGCTTATTGCCTTGGGGGTAGGCAACCTAATTCACTCTCCCCTTCCCCAAAACACTCTAAGCCACTCGGGCAATTGGAGCCGAAGAGAGATCGATGGAGAAGTCAGGCAATACTTGCATAGCCTAGTGCCCTGCCTATGTGACGTCATCCACAATTTCAATTATTAAAAAAATTATAAAAAAAACTAATTAAAAATGTAAAAAATTATAATTTTTTTTCTATAAATACATAACCATATTCTTCCACTTTATACTACATTTCAATATTTTCAAATACTTTTAACCGATCTTTTATTATTATCTAAAATTAAAAATAAAGTTATCTTTTATTATCTTATAAAATTAAAGATTCTAATATTTTAACACGAATTGCCTTGGTTATTCAGTTTAGGGGTTGAAATGCATTTGGGCAATCACTGTTGGGATTGAGTTGCCTATTGCTTAGGGGGTCTTCCTACACTGAAAGTGCTCTCACAGTGGTGTCTTGGATATGTGTTAAAGAAGGGATAAAATTGTTCCAACAGGATCCTCTCTGGATCCTTTTGGTGAGGATTCTAGTGATCCGTAAATCGTGTCCGTTCATCGTACATCGTGTGGTCAATTTTTGTCAAGTACTTGTATTTAATTTTAAATAAAAATATTTAAAATGATTTTTGATCGCATGATGTACGATAAACGGATATGATTCATGGATTCTTGGAATCCCCACAAAGAGGATCTGGTGAGGATTCAAATTCGAAATTGTTAAGCATTGAATGGATTCCTATGACAATGTCATGGACCCTATTGGACTTCTTCAGGAACAGTTATAAGTTCTCGCCACTGTTTTAAAAATCAGACTAGGCGGTCGCCTGACTTCTTCAGGAGCAGTTATAAGTTCTCGCCACTATTCTAAAAATCAGCCTAGGCGTTTGGAAAAATCGGCTGGAAGCTAGGCAGCTGCCTAGGTGGGCTCCAAGGCAGAGAGTTGGGCGGCACCCTAGGCGGTCCTAGGCAGTTTTTTATATATTTTTTTATTAATTATGTGTTTTTTTCTTTTTTGGTTTCATGGTGGTATACTTATGGAAATGTTGTACCTAATTTGCAAATGATGGATTTACTACAAGTTCATCTAATACTTATGGAAATAGTGTACCTAATTTGCATTTTATCATTATTTTATTACCCATACAAATATAGTTTTTTTTAGGTGTAAATAGACACTTATTTCAAGATATATAATAAATTTACATAAATCCGACTCGGCCGCCTAGGTGCTAGGCCCCTGCCCCGCCGTCCGACTAGCGCCTATCGATTTTTAGAACCTTGGTTCTTGAGCAGGATATAACTGTTAGTTATATCATACCAGACTTTTTATGCAAAAGGATCCCCATTTTTTTTTTAAATAGGTATTAGGTGTGGAGCCCACTCCACATCAAACTTCAATAATCCGAACTGTCTATTTTGTAAGTCTCGATTAATAGATCATTCTTACAAAAATTCAATTCAATCCGAAACCATTTGCCTATTTAATTATCAAGATAAAATTTCATTGTTGCTTATATAACAAAGTATTCGTTAATTTTTTTGAACCCAATTAGATGTCTTAAATATTTCTGATTTGGCTAATATTTTGCAAGGATAGTTTATGAGATGCAACTCGAAAAATAGACGATTCAGATAGTTAAAGTTTAATATGATATGGACCCCATAACTAATCCCTATTTTTATAAAAAAAAAATAGGGATCTCTTCCCTTAAAGGCTATGATATGAGACATAATTTTAATAATAATATTATTATTTACTTATTAACTAGTATATATTATATACTTAAAGCATGTGTATCGGTACACCGTTATTATGGCGTACTTTCACACATGATTACACTAGTTCTGAAAATCATGTGGTTATAAATTCCAACATTAGAAATAAGGAGAAATTTTTTATTATGATCGGAATAAGGGAGTACACCATGTATTTTTATATAAGTAGTGAGAAATTTTATTTTTTAAGCTATTAACTTTTTTTAATACATATATTACATTATTTGTATAATGACATATAATGTACTATTCTGTGTACCAATCACATTGAATATCTCTAATAAATAAGAGACGGTGATTCTGAGAAAAAGCAGTGATGTAACTTTTGCTCTCTTCGAGCGTGTCGAAATGGGAGCAGAAAGGGTCTTTATATATAGAGCTACAAAGTAATCTGCAAGTTGGCAGAAGAAAAGGAAATGCATACGGGTAAAAACTCAAAAAGTCTTTGAAGCTACATGCCTACCGACAGGGAAGAATAGAAAGTCTTCTTCAACAAAAGTTTAAAGAGGCTTTT